AAGGGATGACAATTTCGTACGAGAGAGAGTTGGGAGCATGATACATAATGAAGAATGTGGATGTGGCATCATCGACGTCACTGATGTTACTGGTTTGATTTGAGTGTCAACTTTTAAATATGTTTGAGCAAAAATCAGTGACGAGGATTCTGAAAGCTAAATTGTTGTTCCCGTCACAGTTCACGCAAAAACAAAATGGCGGTTGATGATTAGTTGTGTCCGGCAATGGAAACCACAATATGGGACAATTCTCCAAAATGTTGGACACATGTTTTTCAAGCTCATGATTCCTTTTCGAAATGGTTAAATAATATTATTATATCCGTTTTATCTCTCAATAGAATTTATGCACATGTTTTTCATCGACCTGCCGTTTTATCTCCCATCGACATTTCATTTTCGCTTGGATTTAACATTAGTTCTTTTCATTTTTTTTCCAAGTTTCCAAGTTACAGTGAAAAGAAAAAAAAAAAAAAAACTGTGAACCGCTCGAACAGGCCCATAACCGGCGGGTCAGGACCGGTTTAAATAACCGACCCATAGGAAGAGTCGGGCCGGTTACAGGTCCAGTATTTGAGGCTCGCTGACCCGGCGGGCCGGGCCGGGTTTTGAACCGGCCCGGCTGTTGGCCACCTCTAAACGGACCCAGAACGATCGGTAACAAAAAATAATTTCGGTTCGGATTCAGTACCGCTACATGAATGTTCGGTTAAAAATTAGAACTGAATCGAACCGAACCGATATGAATTAAAAAAATATTAATTATTAAGTGAATACATGAGTCATCTTGATTAGATTCAATTCTAACACATGCGTTACCAGTAAAGCAGATACCATTTACGTTAACTCTTTAGAATTAAAATTGTAAGATTCTTGTTCTATATCAGTGATGATATAAAACTAAATGCATGGACAAGCCACAGCATCCACCAGGACTGAATTCTGTAACTGTCCCGGTATAAAACTCAACTAAATAATTTTTTGCTCAACTAAAGAACTGAAATGAAGATTAACGAGACAGAATGACAGTAACAAACACATACCTAAAACTTCACGTAAAGTCTCGATATCTCTCCGTTCGTGAAAGGTTGATCTCTCTGCAGCTGTGTTTAAAGAGCATGAATAAATTCAAGTAGTGCTTCATCTTTTGATATGATAGAGCCCACAAATTCAAGCTTCATATGCATGAAATTAATCTAAGAGACAACTAGTTACTTGATTTTAGTTCTTGTGTAAGTTAGTATTATGCAGTATATGCACAATCATGATTGTGTAAGTTAATTGATTTTACATTCTGTTTTGAATTTAGATATCATTTTTTGGATTTTAGACTTTAAGTTGTGTTGTCGATAACTTGATATAATTTTCTAGGCTCAACTTCCACAAGTTGTTCTTGTTCATGTTGTCATTATGGCATTATTTTCTTATACATTGAACATGCCAAGCATAAGGAGCATGCAGGACTTATGGTGCCATTATTCTTGCAGCTGCATGATACTTCTGCAATTCGGTAAATTCGATATAAAACCGATTGGAGATTTCGATTATTGAAAATTCGGTAACCGACCGACTACAAGTCGGTTCAGTTTCGGTTCTATATTTCGTTGTTATCGAAATATACAGTTTTGTTTGGTTCGGTTATCGAGTCGAACCCAACGCTACCTGGGAGAGCCTCTGATTCTTAATTCAGTATCAGATCACAAAAAGAAGATGGTTGAGCTTCTTTAATAAGGGCAAGTCAACTAAAATTGCCTCAATATGAAATCTCTTCTACTCTCTGGGAGTTCCAAGCGAATCTCCTTCAAAACGAAACTTGGGTTACAGACAAGCTTGGACATGAACATGGTACAAGAAGATAGCCTTCTTTTACATATCACCTGGAGATTTTCCAGTTAGAGAATGATGCTTCTACTCTTACCTAAACAGTTGTTATTTACACTTTACACAGAGATAGAAACTCTTATTGATTCATGTTGATATTTATAATTTACACGAATCGGAAACTCTCGTTGATCCATGTTGATACGGTTGTCTAATTAGGTTATTACAAAGCCCTATAGAATCTTGGGTTAAGCTAACTCCTCTAAGGCAATTTGAATTCGTATTTCTACTCGGCTTTTAGATCATACAATCATACCTAGGCATTCACTAATAAGTAGGGAAAATAGCCTCATCTGACCAAAGGGGCATCCTCAAATTCGTAAAATATAGTGGGCAAGTGATAATATTACTGCTCATGATATAGTGGCTGTACTATAAATACAATTGGTCATGCCTGGAAATTTAGTTTTCTTGTGATCCAGCAGAATCTCTGCATCTTCGCAAGGCAGCTCTTATATCCTTCAGCATCTCATCCACCCGTATGCCTTTCCTGAAAATCGAGACGGATAAAATGATTTTTCAGCATTGAAAGGTCACGTGAAAATAACCGAAAGACCCATAATGTGGATTGCAGCAGTCTTCATGAAAGCAAATTGATCTAAAGGTGAAAAAGTGAAACAGCTGTTAATAACAATAACTTACAGCACACTAATGCCCACAACAGCAAAAGGCTTCGGATATTCTCCAATCGGCTTGACCTTCTTGTCAATAGGAACATCATTAGCTCTTTTGTCCTCATCAACAGTCAATTGTAAAGTGGCTTGCTTATCACTTCCTATTCTCCATATTTCTTCAGTTAACTTGGCAAGTCTCTGTTCTGCCTGCAGTAGTGGTTAAGCCCAACAAAACACGCACACGCGAACAAAACAAAACACAAAAATAACATTAAAAAAAAAAAGGACATCAACATATAAAAAGTGCAACTCAAATTAATGTGTACCTCAGGGATGTCAATCTTGTTTAGAACAACAATGTATGGTCGATCAAGGTAATCAGGATTGTACATCCGCAACTCCTGCAAAAATCAACAGCATATATTTCCGTAGTAATTTTAGACGAGGACTAATTATAGGAATGGAATTTTTGGCTGGCAACTGAATGGGAATTTTTCAAAACAAGCCCATGCTCAACCTTTAATTGTTCAGGATCATGAATAAGCTTTATACCTCTTTCACTGTCCTGTAGTCACACACTGGATTCTCCGCGGATGCATCAACAACGTGAACCAACATCCTAGTTCTCCTCAAATGTCTCAAAAAATTGCGGCCGAGACCCTGGAATATTAACAGAATCATTTACAGTGCAGTTACAAACACACCCTTCAAGATTATATTCAACTGATAACTACCCTATTCTTGTTGAGGAGCACTGGTTATGTTGAAATATAATTGTTTTTCTAATTAGGATAAGGTTCAACTTTAGTTTTATTAACACACGCTAAAGAAAATTTTGGGTACTCTACCAAATATTAAGTGATATAAATAGAAAACAAGATATATATGGAAGAAGTTCTCGTTATAAGTATTTGAAATACCTTCCCCAAATGAGCACCTTCAATGAGTCCAGGCATATCTGCCAATGTTGCCTGAGATGAAAATTGCTCGGACCCCAAGCTGGGATCACCATTAAGGCGTCCTAAGTTTGGCATCAACGTTGTAAATGGATAATCGGCTATATCAGGTTTTGCAAGTGTTATAGCTGCCAGCAGGGTGGATTTTCCAGCATTTGGCAGCCCCTTTGTTATATAAGACGATTAAGAATAGGTTAATAGTGAAGCTCAATTCTTATTTCGAAGCACCACTTTAAGAAACAAAAACCCATCAACAATTCAAGCATTCTGACAAAACGAAGGACGATCCAATGCCACATATCCTGACACTTGTGATTTGTCATGTAATGATGTCAGACAAACAATTTCAAATACTTCCAACATTTCTTTATCATTTTTATCAATGTATCTGTACATTTAATGTACAGACTGTATGTCTATGAAGAACTTGTCCATATCTTAAACTACGCGATGAAAAGGCAATCAGGACTGAGATTTTTAACAAAGGCCAAGACCGTTAACAGAGCAGGTTCAAAAGGTTAACATGCGTAACTAAATCCGAGATAAATATGGCACAAAACTTTGACGCATCTGATTTAAGTGAAAGACATAGGTGCTTAGAAAATCTAATACAAATATACCATATGTGCATTGAACCCATCATCGCACGTGCATGTCTCGGTACACATAATACAAGAACACCAGAAAGTTAAAAGAAAAACGAGAACATAAACAAAAATATGACGTGCTTATAAAAACAGATGTACTTAAATATGACGAGCTGATAGGCCTACAGTTGTAGGTTTAAAATGAAAAGATTTACTGAGCAAATAAAATGAGACGAAAGAGAAAATAGATTGAACAACAAAGACGGAATCAAACAGTTAACACTAATTAACTTCTGAATAGAAACGATAAGTTCATTCCGCTTGCAGTTTAACAAACCATGATATAAGTCTGGATAAATGTGTATAGTGATACATGCATGAGTTTTCCCCTGTAGAAAATCTACACCCAAACGTTTATTGATATTGACTAATACAAGGAATACTTACAACAAGACCAACATCAGCAACGACTCTTAGTATCAACTGCAGACTGACTTTTTCTCCAGGCTGCCCAAGGGTCAAAACCTGAAACATGAAGCACAATAGAATACATGTGTAAGATGCAATCAGCATATGAAAAGTTTAACTATAGCGGCAAAAGTTTTGTATCCTTTTCAGGCATTAAATCTGAAGCTCCTTTCTTTTATGGGAAAAAAGGAACTAACAGGTGATAAAAATTATAAAACATTTGAATCTGTGGATCTAATTCGGATCACAGAACACAAAAATATATTGAAACATGAATGTTAAAACAAACTTAAAGAGTTTCATGTTGCCTTCATTTTTCTTCAAAAAAACATATCATAAATTAACTGATAATTGACACAAACAATGAGACAACAATACTACAATGACAATTGAATGAAAAAACATGCAAACGCCCTCTCTTTCCAGCTAATGTAATACCCAGCCGGATATATGTTTCGACATGGTGATAAATGGAAGCATACATGATTTAGCCCCTCCTATTTATGGTTGTGAAAGATAGCTGGCTTGGCTGTCATAAGTTATGAGTCATTCGTAGTCCACATCATTTATTTTCTTCTCCAATGTTGATGGAAGCTACAGCTTTGCCACATAAAACAAGAGCCAAATATTCTTCTACACTTACAGTAATTTCACAGGCAGGAAGTTATCCAGACGTTATAAAACCACCACCGAACCAAGGGTGAACATATAACAGATAGCTATTCAAATTTTCATATGTCATTGTATCATAATCCATATCCGAGCACAAAACAACATCTTTATATAATCACTTCAGATAGAAGATTACTAGGATTGTGATAAGTGAAAGATCAATCCACAAAAAAAAAAAAAAAAA